AATTTTTATCATATATCACGAATATCTTAATCAAATACGATTTCTGATGTATTGTTCTCGATATATTCATTCATCATTATCGAATAACTGATATATACATACACTCTAATTTCCTTAACCTCATTTTTTTATGCATTTAACATAATAAAATATATATAACATAATACAATATCAATTCAATTGAGCAAAGAACAAATATTGAATGAAAAAATCGTCATTGGCTTTTATTTTCTTTGGCACTTTATTGACATAAATGTAACAATCTTACGTTGCATAATATGTACAATTATTTATAATAATATGGCGCATTGAAAAACACACAGAAAGAAGCATATCAACTTTTGATAAAAGTTTGCGGTGATTCTTTATATGCTTTTTTTCTTCGTTTTGTTTGATTTGGAACAAAATTAAACGAGCTACATATATTATCAATTACGATATACATTTATAGATAAAAAAGTAATACAAATGTATAGCTATATGCTACAAATCGCAAAGGCTTCACACACATTCGTGCGCAGGCGCTTAATCGTTAGTAATAAATTAGAATATTCACAATAGATATTTGAAAATAAGTTGTGCTACTGCATGATAATCTGCGAATTTTTTAAATTATCTATGTTTTCATACTAATTCATATTTGCATCTAGCACCAGTGTTCGATGGTATCGAATTATTATTATAATTGTGAAAAGTTATATTATGCGCGCACGTTCAAATTCAATGTGGAAAACGATTGGTTAATTGAAAACGATGTTTTATGTTTTATTTCCAAATCACTTATGAATCTTATGAATGTTAAAGTTATTTTCATCAATGTCCAAAAATCCACAAAATCTCCTTTCGTTGTATCTCAATATGCGTAGTTAATAAAATTGATCACATCATTAATTGACAAGTAACCAACTAATTTTATATCATCACGAAATTTGCATATCGAAACTATGTCGTACGATTATAATTTAATTGACGGAAGATAATAATATCCTCTCACAAACTGTTTATCAACTAACTTATTACGCTAACCTCAAAATTACGCTAACTTCTTTTAAATTAACTTCTTTTTTCTTTCTTTTTTTTTTCTCTTTTTTTTTTTTCGAAACTTTATTGAATATCATTAAACATTTATATGTATAGAAATGAGAACGTGTTCGCGCAAACCGTACCAGTACATGTATATATTCTTGATATCATGAATATCAACGTCAATAAAACTTTTTTTTATACTTTCGATATCTTTCTTCTTCGGAATGTCTGCGTAATTGATTCAAGAGATCGTTTGGTACATACCACAATTTATTCGCGTTAATGAGAAGAGCTTCCGTTACTTGGCAGCATATGGCAGCCATATTAACTTGTGCGCACAAATCGGTACGATCACGAGAATGAATGTATCGTGGTGGAAATAAAGATGGTGCCACTATCATCGCTACATTATGAATTGACATTTTATTCAACGCTTGATTTTCCACAATCAGTTTCAAGAATTTAATCAACGCCTTCAAAGTACAACGATGTTCTATCGGAAGCAATAACACCAGTAAATTTAAAGCGTACGACAATTCCTGATGATCTTTCACTCCTGCGTGTACGGAAATAAAACGAAATAGAGATTTATATTTTAAAAAATATCACAAAATATTTATATTGAAATAAATTCATGCACTTTAAAATCATATTTGATCCTGGTGCATCAAATCTAATCGATCACTTAATCATTTTAATATTTTCTTATTTAAACACACAACTTACCGTGACTTTGATAGAAAGCGTCGATAAGTTCTACAGTAAGTAATGGTTGCGGTAGATCGCGCAGTAATTTTTTCAGAACTGCCGACAAGTCATGGCACGACATGTGTTTGAACAACTTATCCATTTCTTTAGGTTTGCAATAGAAATCCGTTTCCAGCTGCATGCATATTGATTCGACCTGAACAAAACAACGATAGTTATAGTCATTCATTCGAAAGGTAACGTACTGAACTTTTTTTGTAATTTAAATTTGTACTTTCTGCTTATGTCCTCCGACGCGAAGAATACCCTCTTCTTTAACACCGCGTCTCGTTAATTCATTAAAAAGTTTTTGAAATACTAGTGGAATATTACTCTCTTCGGACGATAACTGACTATCTCGAAGTAAAAGAGTTGACAATGAAACTCCGAATAGATTTCCAGCTACGAATGTAATATTGTTAAATAATTTTCAACATCTTAATAATAACTTTAATTCTATAAAGATTCTATAAACCTTTCGTTCGACGTTTATTTGGTTTGCGTTTTTTTAATGGTACGTTATATTTGTCAAACACTGCGGTAAGTTCAAGCCATAATAATGGTTGTAATTTGGTCAAATCTCGTTGCGTAAGCACCTCTATCCCTAATCGAGTCTGTACATCATCAGGTGGAGCTATAACTTCCGAATTCCATACTTTTGACTTTATTTCATTTCCTCTACACATTTCCTCGAAACTTAAGTGACCATGAGAAGATGTACGATTTAATGGATGTGTTATTAAACGTTCATCGGCTGGCCTCGTTAATCCATATAAGCTACTATGACTTCGTGTTACCGTTGCATGACTACCGGAATTCCTTCTAAAATTTTATGTGTAATCCATATATATTTTTAATGAAAATAATATTTCTCAAATTTCATACAAAAGTTATATAAAGAGGTTAGAATTTTGAATCACACCTCAAAGTCGAATCTTTTGAAGTATTCAACTTTTCAATAGCCTCGCCTAAAGTCGTTACATTCGCTACTTCGCTAGGATCACTTCCGCTTCGTCTTTGAATACTAGGTTTTGAAACATGTATCGTTCCTAACCTATGATAGCTTGTTAACTGAATTCCTTCTATAAATGTATGTAATGTATTCATTTATGTAAAATCACAAATATGTTAAAAATAGTTTTTAAAAATGAATCATCAATACCTGAATCGTTTGCAACATCACCTCGTAACCAATTTCCAGCACGTCTAAAAATTTCTTGAACAGGCAATGAAGTTACCGACTGTTCTACCACTGTGTCGATCGTCGTCGATGGTGCACTTGGCGTTCTACGTACCGTTTCTTTACATTCATTTGGTACTTGTTCAAACACCGATACAAAGTTTGGAACAGTAGTGTTACTCAAAATGTAAAATACGATTAACATATATTTATAAATATCATAATGGAACTGAATAATGAACAAATCTTACTTTGTATGGTGCCCGTCCATAATGGTAACTGTTGTCAACGATGGAAGCATCTTGATTGACGTTGACGAAACATCTTCCGGTATTGCATCTGTTGCAGAATCTAAGGAATCAGGTGTAGCACTACGTGATCTCGTCCCGGTACTAGACGCCTAACGATTATTATTAACAAAAAATAATTTAATTTTTAGTATTACTTTTAATAATTATATAATCTGATTTATACCTCCACATCTTTGAAAACATCTCTAATATCTGGTTTTCGAACGCGTTGTCGTTGATTAAAACGATGTTTCACTGTATGATTAAGTGATTTAACACGACGTTTTACTGCTTCAGCTTGTGCTCGAGACAAAGGACGTAATGCTGCACCCAATTCATCTGGTTGTACTTCTCTCCCTGCCTTCCATGCTTCTGTTAATTGTCCTAAACCAGCTATACGTAACCATTCAGCTTCTTCTTCGCCATCTTTGAAAATAATAATATAATTAATATAATATAATTAATTAATTAATTGAAAAAAAAATAAATATTAAGAAGAAAATGCATACCATCACAGTTACGTGGACATTCTTCTTCAAGATAATCATCCAATAGCTTGGTTTCTTCCATCATCTTTTGATATTCTTCCCAATAGTCTAAAAAATGATTTTCACTTCCTATATATGTAGTATGTGTTCTTTCCATGATTTCTAAATTTATTATATATATTTTGACAATATCTAATTTTATTTATCTATAATTTAAACAATTTTTTTTGGATATCTGGAAAAAATAAAAAAAATATTCAAATTTTAATTCATAATTTTAATTCAGTTTTATCTAAAAAAAGTTCAGTTTTTTTAAAAATTTTATATATTAATATTACATAAAAAAATATTAATTAATAAAGAAACATTCTTATTTTCTTTACAACAATTCTAATCCGCAACATCGATCTTTTTTTCAGAAGTTTATAATCTACGTTTTAAAGTAGGACGCAAATCAAATTAACATACACACCGCCTCGAGGAAGTATTGCTGACACATTCAAACAATTAGTGTTGAAATAAGATGGCACGAGAAGCGAATTAAAAAAATATCAAATAAATTATTATATTATATAAAATATACCTATCAAATTTTAAGATAAAAAAGACGTAAACATACACACATGTAACTAGAATCACGAACAAAAATTTTCAAAAAAATAGATAAAAGCATCTAACCTTCTCCTAATATGGAATTTTTCATGAAAATAATCATAGCAAGAAATTTCTGAATGAAATACGTACATTTGTAAAGAGACTTGGTCGGTGAAAATATTGCTTGTACAATTATCTTATTCTTAAAATAAGTTTTAAATTGTAATAATGAGATTGCATAATTCGTCGTAAAAATATATAAAAAATAGCTTTTCAGTTTTTAATAAAATTGTTTTTTAGGACCAAATGAGTAATTTACGCATTAATATTATTTTGATATCATCTGCTATTTCCAAGAAATAAAATATTTAGTGTATGCCTTTGTATCACACTCATCGTTAATAAAACTGTCATCAACTCGTTGCACTGAATATAAAGCACTGAGCTTATTTCGAAACTTTAATGAACAAATTTGCACGTCTGCATAACTCCCGCTTTTTCGAATTCAATTTACGTTGAAAACAGAAAACATGAGAACATGTTCTCAAACTTGACAACCTGTTGCTGACGCATACGACTCCCACCCGTATACTTGCAAACTGATTCATAGTCATACAGTATTGTTGTTTTGAGTTGACACCTGCGCTCTTCATGCATTTCAATCCACGCCATCTAGTTTTCTTATGCTTCGAGCACAGACTATATACATAATAGATATTTAATATTTTTTGTCATGATAAATTTATTTATTGTTTAATAAGATCGTTCGAGTAGTTTTTCACATTGATATAATGTAGAATCATTATTCCTCGTAAAAAATTCATGTCACAAATTATTATTATTTACTATTTATAAATATTTCAATTTATAAATATAAAAAATATAACCTCCAATCATTCAATTTTTATCCGAAATATTTTTTAATATTATGTAAAACAAACATTTTTCATATTTTTAAATCTTCTAGAATTAAAAAAAATATATTCGTTTGTCTAAAAATATTCAATAAATATAATATAATATAATAAAAGATAGCAATTCTTACCATAAAAAAAAATACATAAAAGATATATCTTTAGAATTAAAATTGTTGAAAAAATAAAACATGAAAAAATGGCAAGTACAAAAATAAGTATGCACATGCAAGATACTTTACAAATAACTATATAAACTTTCATAAAAATTCTATTTTTAGAAACATTAGAAAAATTGTGTATGGATCTTTTGTGCATATATCAGATTATATTTTTTTAATATAAAGTCAAAATTTTTGACACTAAAAAATTTTTATTCAATTTTATACTAGAAAAATATAATTCCACAAAAAGTGATATGTGAAATTTTTTTCAGAAATTAATTCTAAGCCCAAAAATTTTTGGTCAAATTTTCGAGTTCTATTAGGAGAATATAATCAGATAGGAGGTAACGTACAAATTTTTAAATCAGCGCCATCTTCATAGTGCTACAAATAAAAAGAATAGCAAATAATAGGAGAAAACTAAGAATGAACATTTAGTGCCATCTCTTAAATATCAAAAATAGATGGCACTGGTAGTTAATTTTTATCTTATCTTGTGTTTAATATTTGAAAGACGGCATTAATAGTTAATTCTTACCTTTATTCTGTTCCTATTATTTTTTGTCCTTTTTTTGTATGTTTTATTTGCAGTATTCTAAAAATTGATTTTAACTTTTTGCTTTCTCTATTCTCTATCTTATTCTTCTTTTCTATTATCTCTTATGTGAGTAAGAAAGTACATGACTAGTTAGCTATGAAATATTTTCATAATTTTTCTTTAGAATTACAATATATTTTAATTTTTCATATAAATATTATATCCTTAACTTTAAAATTTATTTCTAGGACGGTGACTTTTCAAAATATAATATATGTTGATATATAATGCGTAGTTTTCATAACACTTAATGGTAATGATAGAATTTAAACAAAGAATTATTTATTCCATATTTTTTTAATCATTTGTTCGTTTACAAAACATAAAAAAAAAAATAATTTTTGTAAAAACACAACATTTATTTGTCTTAAATCATTATTAATCATTATAAACAATTATAACATTATCTTGAACAATCTATAGCAATCTGAAAAAAATATGAAATTAGATACATAAAATACATTTTTAATATAATGTATATATTATAAAATGAATAATTTTATCACGTTCAACTTCTATTAGCACGATTGCCCCATCCTCTTCTATGTGTATCTTTATATTCATCCATGGCACGTAATTGTTTTAAGATTTCTGAATCATCTGTCTCAATCATTTCTTCTTTTTTAATATCTTCTTCTTCATCTTTTTTTCCTTGATTATTTGCTAAGTCTTGTAAACACTTTGAAGTGGTTTGATGATGTGAAGGCCAACTAAAGTGAAAATATTTATTAATATTAATATTTAAAAAATATGAATATATAATTTTTTACTTACTCTCCTTCTTTCACTCGTTGGTCATAAAATTCTTGAACAGTTAAAACAGGTAAACTAGGATAACCAATTCCAAATACTTTTTTTTGCACTTCATCTCGAGTAATAATAATTGGTTGTAATTTTGGAGAAGGTGATATATGTTTTTGTGAACTCTGAGCCATGGTTTCAGTTTTTCCTACATTTTTCATATGTTCTAAAATTGGTTTTTCAGCAGCTAAAGAATTCAATTCTTCTATTGTCAAGTTTACATATAATTTAATAAGTGTTACAAAATATTCTCTTTTAACTTCATCGTCTATGTTTGGATCAGATAAACTTTTTTGCAAAATTTCCAAACGCGATTCCAACTCTTTTTGTTCTTTAAACCTTTGTAATTTCGTATTTCTTCGATTTACCTATAATATAGACATATATATAATTTTAAGAATAATATTTTAATGTAATAATTTTTAATTTAAAGAGAGATTTACCATTTCAGTAATTAATTCTGCATTCGTTCGAACTTTCTCGGGTACGCTTTCTTTTTCATGTTCCGACTTAATTTCGGGCACTTCAATATCAGTTAAACCATAAGCTTTAACACGTTTCAAAAAATCGATGAAATAGATTTCAGCAACATTAATAATATGCATTCGATCATCTATATTACAAATTTTTGTTGTAAGTGTACCAAGAAAAGCTGGCAGCAAAAAATACTTTATATTTTCTGTAGCCACTTCATCAAAACTTTCATTTTGACTAAACATATCGACTAGAGAGACTAATTTCGTTGCATCTTCTAACATATTCATAGTTCGTCTTATATCAGACTACATATAGAAAAAAAACAAAAAGATGTATCATTAATATAATCATTAATATCATGATTTACGAATAGAATAGAAGTGTATATTTAAAAGTAAGTACAATTTAATATATATAAAATATTTTCATTAGAAATTCAAGAAAAACAAAAAAAAATTTTTTTTAAATTATACGCAATGATGTTTAATACCTGAATTTTTACACTGTTTGTAGGTTTATCCGTTTTATTTATTTCATTAAATTGTTCAAACGCTTTATCGAATAATTCTGATAACGAAGCATTTTCATCGCTTTCCATAAATAATTTTTTTTCCGACATAGCTATCGTTTTGACAGCTAGTGGTATTCGTTTATGAGTTTAACCAAAATGAAATAGGTTATGTACGTCCAATGAAGTTTCACTTGAAGTTATCGCTATAATATAACAAGTTTCGATAATAAAAACGATATGTCGATATATTAAACAATTTAATTCAAAACATTTTAATTTGGAAAGAAGTGAGATATAAATAAATTAACACAAATTTTTATAATAAATAACTGTTTCGATGACAAGTAAATAAATTGTTTATTGATTTGTAATTAAAAATCATTAGAGGGGCTATCGGAGGATATCAGACCTTAAGGGGAATATCATTAACGAGACTGAAAACATCATCTCTATACATTGTCTAATCGTTTGGAAAAAAATATGTTATTTTCATTTGAATTATCATTGTTTTGGAAAAACACAATACTATTATTTTTTACAAATTGTTGAGTTATTTACAGAATTCAAATCATATATCATTAATTGATCCGATTGTATATAATCTCGAAAAATAATTAGAAAATATAACAAAACATAATTGCAGATTTACAATTATTGCGATAATGCCTTGCATTGCTTACAATTTTCCATTCGTTCATCAAATTCTTCTATTTGAAGTGTCATTTCGAAGAATTTGTATTTATCGTGAATATTTCTAGTAGCAGTACGTAATATATTGTGAGGACTTGCACCTGGTTCTTTATTAAAGAAAATAAAAAGAAATAAGTCAATCAACATAATATATCGTAATACATCCGAATTTGTTTATAATAAAATAAAAATTAATGAAAGAACAAGATTTGAATGTACTTACTTATTGCGAGATGAGCAGAGAGTGCAGTTTTATCCAACGAAAGTGCCCAGATACGAAGATTATGCACTTTAACTACACCTTCGATTTGCATAAATGTACTCTCTACTTGAGAATATTCAAATCCTTTTGGAATTCCTTCCATTAAGACATTCATCACATCTTTAATTATTGCAACTGTAGTTAATATTACCAATAATGAAAAGAGAAAAGTGCAAATTGGATCGACTATAATCCAGCTTGGCTGCAATTATTATTATTAATATCGATTTCGTTTTCATCCTTAAATTCTCAACGAATCTATAGCATACTTAAATGTACCTTGAAATAAATAGCTAATGCTGCAACAAAAACTCCTACGCTTTGAATAAAATCTCCTATAACATGGATAAAAGCAGCACGAACATTGATGTTTTTTCTATCATGAGAAAGATCTTCAATATTAATTTTTTCATTTTCTATACTTCGATTTGATTTATGCGAACCATGACTATGTCCATGACTATGACCATGCTGATGTAACGATAAGCCCATTCTGCAATATAATTAAATTAAATCAATACATTCAAAATATAACATATTTTAAGCGTAATAAAATTTATTATCTAATTAATTCGAATTGAATATTATTTTTAACATAGTTCGAATATAATGTAGTATCACTAACACTAGATTTACCGCAACGCCCACAGCAGAGGTGATCAACATGACGGTTGTATCTAGTTCAAAGTTTTTATGAATTATTCTCTCGATTGCCAAATAAAAAAGAATTCCAGTAACTATCCATATTAATAAAACCGATGTTAGAGCTCCTATTACCTGTAAACAACGATAATTATCTCCAGGAATATAATGAGGAATATATTTATATATGTTATCAAAAAATTATAAAGAAAACTTTTTTATACCTACTTCTGCTCGATACCAGCCAAAAGGCATTTTTCTTGTGGCCGGTCTGCTCGCTACCCATATCGAGAACAAGGATATCATAAACGAGGCGAAATCAGTTAATAAATGCGCAGCGTCTGTTGCAATCGCTAAACTATTTGACAATATACCACCTGAAAAATAAAATAATAATTTTAATTATCAAATTAATTATAATTTATTTCTGTTTTATAATTATATTATACATATAATCTTCTTGAACACGTTTTATTATCGCGTATTCTATTCTTTTATGTCTATTATGTCATATATATATATATATGTATATTACCTACGATTTCTGCTATCATAAAAATTACGCATAGCGTACTAGCAATCAGTAATTTCTTTCTTGCCTTTTTATCGATCTCCTCATTCCTTTCTCTATGACAATGGTCTTCCAGTACAGCTAAGAACAGTACAAGAAACGAATTAGAATAATACATTTTTTACTGTTATCATATTCGATTATAAATTTTTACCGGAAGAAGTTTGTTGAAAATCGGTACCACCGATAGCAGTGGCGGGAGAAATGTTGATTGTAGTGTTTGCAGTCTCGTCGATCGATGTGGCGCCCTTTACAACCGTACAGCAACCGGAAAGTTTACCGTGCACACAAAAAATTACTTTTTTCGGCGAGGCTTCGTTCTCATCGGCTTCATTATTATTAGGCGGAATACTTGTTCCGTATCCATATACAGCTTTGTCTTTGAATCTATAATAAACAAAAAAAAAAAAAATAACCGATTGTATTTTAAATAATTTAACATAATTACATAATTATAAATAAATACAATAATCAATGGATATACACAATCGATTTTGCGGAAATAAATCGTATCAATTCATCATCGTATTAAGATTTTTATTATCTGTTTTTATGCCTATTGTTTGCACGCAATACTAATCAAGATTAATTGAAATTATTTTTATAATCTGGCTCGTAACGTTTTTTTCCTTTTTCTTTAATCTTTTTATTTTTTATTTTTTATTTTTTTTCGTTTATGCGGAAGATAATTGGAAACGAAAATTTACAAACCGAATTTATTTACCGTCATTGTTCAATTTTTATAATGTGCAATCGATACTCCGAATTTATCTCGCACTTGGAAAATATGAAAAAGGAAAGAATTGTCACTGTTTTCTTGACAAAAAGCGGGAAGAAGAAAAAAAAGAAAAAGAATTATACATTCAAACAGGTGATTTACAATTTCAGGGCTCGATCTTAATTTGATTTCGACACGAAGTTATTATGAATGATAAGAAAAAATTTTATTGCCACGAAGATCTTGTGTGATATAAATTATAATCAAAAAAATTTTCTAACCCTATATTATATGTCTATATCAATAGAAAAATATAATTGTTTACAATAGTTATCGACTTGTTATCAATCATGATATTTCTTATTGTTTTTTGATTTTTTCCCTAATGATTAGAGATTGTCATCGAAAATTTAAATGCGTAGCGCGAGATAAGATCGATAATATAATTAATTAACGATTAGAGTTAAGAATAAATCACTTCATAATTGAATAATTTATTATTCAAAACATGGAATAATCGCAGATAACTATAGCACTAAATAGCCGAGGTTATATGAAGAACAGATCAATTTATAGTTACAAATAATAATTATTATTTAAGCATTTAAAATTAAAATTATTATTTAAAATAACTTTATTCGAAATTTTAACTAATTACTTTTTCAACATATCTAAAACGTAAAGAACAATGATGAGATGAAAATTCTCACTTAGAGATTACGCGTCATCCTCTTCACGCCATTATCATTTCTCGCTATCTGAGAGAAAGATATCAATGAGGATATTGTGTGTAAATTCACATTAGTTAAGCCGTTATCCATGGAAATGTTTTCTGATGAAAAAACTGTGATTTCCGTGACAATAATGCCGTGTGCAAAACTATCCAAATTATATCGTCGTGATATGCAATAGAATGTGATTACACGAATGATAAACATGATACACCGGGATATATTCATTACTCGTGTCGAATGATATTAAAAAGTATTAAGTCGAAAAGTAATAAAGCGTAAGTAAATTATATAAAATATATATCATCATAATAATTATATTATTTTTTTCAACATGTGTATCTTTAAAATAAAAAATTGAAATAAGTTTTTTTTCATAACAATATATATTCAAGAAGTTAAACAAGGGACAGATACTAATACAATATAAATACCCTTGTTGCGATTGCATCTTTTATCGAAAAATCCATATTCTAATTGTTTCTCTCATAAAAATTCTCAAATGAAAAAATTTCAACAGACTTTGTAAGAAATTGTACTGCGCGCAGGACACTGAAGTGGGAGAAAGTGGGGAGAAGCGATTTGATCCGATCTAATCCGAATCGATCCGATCGAATTCGAAAGGATATTCGAACTCACAGCTTGATCCTTTCGTCGTCCATGATCCTCGTGCAGGACGGTTGCATGTATGTGTGCGTGTGCGGACAACAGCGCTGATGGTAACGTGCAACAAGCAATCGAATCAATTCACCATTCAATAGATCGATTAAAAATATGGAGAAGAAAAGCGAAAGGGGAAAAAACGGAAGATGCGACGTCGCGGCGCGGTAGGCGAGGCGAGACGAGGCAAAGTGGAACGAAAAGAAGGGGCGCGACGCGACTACGAACGGCAGATCGGCAAGTGTATTAAATCCTCAGCCGATCGGAGAAACGTGAATGGATTGTACGCGCGTCACTGGTTACATGAACACCGTAAATCGCTTGCCACTTCATGCCGTCTTTTGGTTGAAGACCCTCTGCTTAGTCTCTCGTCCGTTTATTTTACCAGATAGCTTAACTCTCGATGAGTTTCTCCTTCTCCGTTTCTCTCTTTTTCTCTTGTTCTTTCTTTGCTATTTCTCTCTATCTCTTTTATCCCCTCTCTTGCTTTAGTTGAAGATCGCTCTCTACCGATTTCCTTCCTCCTGTTTTCTCCCTTCTTCTGCGACCATCGATTCCCCCACTCTTTGCTTCCTCTATCTGTTTCTGCCTTTCAAAGTTTCTATCTATTTGTCGTTTATTCTATCTTTGTCACGCTTCAGATTCACGATAGTTTTATACTTGATGTATTGCTTTCCTGTTTCTGTTATTTCCTGTTATTTCATTGTAACGATCATTTGTAACAATCATTTAAAATTTCTAATTTTCTCTTGCTATCAATTAAATAAATTTTCGTGACGTCAATCATATACTTTAATAAAATCTAAAAAACAACTATAATTAAATTTGTATAGATCGATTGTATTTTTTTTTTCTATCACATTGTTCACAAAGTTTTTTCTTTTTGATGTAAAATGCTTAATCATCTGCCATGATTTTAATTAGAATTTAATTGATATTTTTAAAATTTTTAATTTTTGATTTAAATTTTAAAATTCAAAATTATTTCTATTCAAATTTAATTAAATATTTATCAAATACAAACAAAACAAAATTAAACACACGTATAGAATTCTAATTCTAGCTTTCAGAAAAAATAATAAAATATCGTGTTATTATTGCATATTATTTTGACTAATATAAAATTTTTCCATGGAATTAGTTTGCATCACAAGTTTTCTTCTGCATACATATTACAAGATTACATTTTTTCGATATATATTTTGGAGGAATAGAATATTAATATTAAACAATTCATGAAGGAGGAACATAAAACTTATTTATCAATTTTCATCTTTAATCGATAATTAATCAATAATTGATTTTATGTATAGATTTATTTCATGTGGGGAAATGCACATCAACATAAATGAATTATATATTCGACAATTATTTTAGAATAATTAATTTAAACAAACTATAATTATTTTTGTATTTCGCCTTTATCGTAATCATATTTATTTGATAATATAATTACAAAAACAAGATAATACATATATATATTCCAAAATACTTATTTCTATAATATACATATTTTAATATTTTTGAGAACTCATACAAATTTTTAATTAAAGTTAATGTATAATTTTAGGATAGATTCGAATAAATCTATAGAGATATCATTAATGCAAATTTAAATATAAAAATATTTTTAACAAGAATAATCATTAGAAGTAAATGTAAAAACAATTAAATAAAAAATTAAATTAAATTAAATTAAAAGTTTATGTTAAAAAATCATATCAATGAGATCATGTTATATTAGCATCGTAAAATATATCATCACATTTGTTACAATATATATATATATATTAATAATCGAAATTATCACTTCATCGATTGTTTTATAGTTTCATTGTAAATAGTCTATAGTTATAAAAATATAAGTTGTTCTTATATACAAACTTGTAATTCTAGTAAATATTGAAAACAGAATACATACAAAATATAATTACAATAAATAATTTTATTTTTATTACAAGATCTTTCTTTTAATTAATTGATATTTTCTTTAATGTTGCCAAAAAATGTTTCTCTTATATTGAAAAGTTTTTATATTATGCAGAAATAGAAGTATTTTTGTGGATGGAACAAATACTCATAAAAAGTACCTTACAAACATTACAAGTTTATTTCTTATAACTATAGTAGATAATACAAAATCACAATTATGTTAACAGTATGGACATAGTTCCTTATCTATGATTAATTACTACAATATGACACATTTCTGAATGATTGAATAATTCATTAAATTAAGACAATTAATATTTTTTAATATTTTATTTATTAATTGTCATTTAAAAAAATCTCGCGCTGCTGCAACAATGTGCTTGCGAATATTGAAAATAATCCATTTATTTGTGGAAAATTTTTCATAAAAGTATCCATACTATCTTCTTTTTAATTGATTCTTATATTTCATTTTATTTTTATTTATAATTCTTCATGCTTTGTAAAATTTTCCGTATCTTCGAATATTTCTAAAACAAAAGAAAAGAAAAAAATATATTTTATTATGATAATAATATATACATATATGTACAATAAAAATATTTATAAAGAATTAGATATGTTTATTCGATTACCATTCTCTTCTTTTTCTGTTTGTCTATTATCATTCTCTAACTTTAACTGTAAAGCTTTTATTTCTTCATCATAACCTATCCATTCTGGTAAAATACGTACGGCAGCTTGTAGCTTAGCTTCTTTAGTCATTGGGTTATTACACTATGGAACAATAGTTGAATATTAATTGAATATTTAAGATTTATATTATCAATTTATTGTCAACATTATTTACCAAATCTATGGTTTTAGCGTATTTTTTGGATGCATCATCACACCAAGTCTCGCACCACAACCATTCCTGAGGCAATGTTTTAATAGCCACTTGATGAATCATATTATTGGGAAGATCCTGAAACAACAAACTATTTATTACTATTATATATTATTTAACTGTATTACTTTTATGTTAATATCAACTTCATACGGACTTGATCTAAATTGGCCAAACTATTAGGATCTTGACTTAGAGCTTGATATTGTCCTCTTAATCTATCTCCGGCCGCGATGCGTCGAAATCGCTTCAAGTCTACTACATAAAGAGCACTGATATGATAAGCGCGACCTTGTAAATGATTTCGCCAATAACCTTGTTTCCAAAATCTGAATCCATCCATTTCTTTCCTGCTATCACAAAATGGAGTGTATGCATATGGCGCACCTCCAAGATCCATAGTCGCTAATTCTTTCAAATCTGCTCTTACAACCTAACAATATCATATATTACATATCACATATTGAATAATTATCACAATAATTAATAATAAAAACCAATAATTAATGATAATAAATTGTAATTATTTATATATAATCTATATACCTGATCGGCATCAACGAATATTATTTTCTTAACATTTAACGGAAACAAAACATCCAAAAATAATATTTTGTAACCCCATATGGTTCTTTGTTTTTCAGTTTGTTGATGGAGCCAACGAGGCCATTTATATTGTACTAATTCATATTCAAAACCATATTCTTTTGCCATATGAGGCAAGAAATCCTAATAAAAAATTTCATGAACTGTTAGACTTTTTTATATTTTCTGATTTATTTATTAATGCGTATAATAGTTTACCTTTAACGTTGGTGAAAGGTAATTTTTCAAAAACCAAAATTTAACTGGACTTTTGGTATGCTTTATAACACTCAACATCATAATTTTCAAAAATCTTTCATATAAGTGTCCTGATGCTAGAGAGAAAATATTTAATTTTTCATCTTGATCATCACTATCATCCGTCGTCGTAAATGTCCTAATTTTGAAAAAACCAATATAATTAAAAAAAATATTTTTGTTGTTTTTTTAAAGATATGCTGTTGATTGAGTGTACAAATATTGTACTGCAATATACAACGCATATTGATGCTATTATAAAAATAATAAAATAATAATAATAATAATAGTATAATACATGTTTATAATACAAAACAATTGATAAAGTAATTATTTTTATATGTCAAGGATATTAGATATTACGCGATAATATTTAAGTAGGTGTGGAAAGCTTACCAAAATTTGGAAAAGCTAAAAAAAAAGAAAGAACAAATAAAAATTAAAGTTAGACGATCGCTTATCGACATGCTAAAAATATTGAATATCTTCATTTAACACCAAGAAATTTGAAACTATTCTAAATTTACAAATTCAACACTCAGGCAATAGGAAAACACACTGAAATAATTTTACCTACCTAGAAATAGAATTCCATAAACCAGAACTTTTATCATCTTCCGATAAAAGATCCATTCCCACCTTGTCTGGCTTTTTAGATACTTTAACTTTCAATACATGACTTCTGAGAGAACTTATAACAACTTTTACATCATTGTCATTTTGTAGAACATCTTGGCCACCGACTGTGGTAAAATCATAAATTTCTGCTGAACGCCCTTGCCGAAGACGTAATACCCATTCACCTGGATTTGCTTTTAACTGAAAATATCCCAAGTTTGCCATTACTATAGTATCTACCATTAACGGTTGTTTTTCTGTTCCTAATGTAATCTGTAATCCACGTGGTGGATTTCCGATGACTGCTTCGAAACAATGACCTTCAAGAAGTAAATATTCTAATTCGAACTCACTGTAAAATAACAAATAATTTAAAAAAACATATTAAAATGTTATATAAAAATGTTTTTTGTTATATGTTCTCTTAACAAAATTTACTTACCTATGCACTCCAATTGCTACATTATCCAATTTAATATTATCTAAATCATAAACGCTTCTAATAACTTCTACTAACCAATTTTCTGGAGCATGAATATACTGTGTCAAAAGAGATGATGTCGGTAATTTTGTGAATTTCGCCATAGCTCCATTAATACGCCCATCAAGAAAAAATTGTAATTGAGGTTCAAATACAAAACGATAAAAACTAAAATAATACAAACAAAATAATTACATAAAATAAACAGATTTATATAATATTTTATATTTCTTTTCTATTTAGAGCATCTATATACCTTTTCAATGGCATATCACTGTTTTTATCCAAACAATTTAAAAACACTTTAATATTACAATTTAAAGATTGTTGAAGCGTTTTTAAAATTGGACCCAATTTTTGCGCACCACGAGATACTGGATCGACAATAGCGATTAAATTAAATGATACTTCATCCGGATTCATCGCTGGAATCTTTATGGCACTAAATATATTATAAAAAAAATATCATAAGTCATACTTGTATATGTTATAAATAAAAAACGAATTTCTTACCTGTAATCATCACCGTGAAAAGGAATATGAAATCGACTTCGCGTTTGTGGATGCGATGCTAATAAAGATGTGATTTTCATTATCATGTCATCAGTGATTTCATTCTTTTCTGTAAAAAATCGAAAGAATGTTATATTACATATTTTATATCATATATAGTTTCATAGATTTTTTTATCATACCATATTCGTCATTTTCCAATAATTGTCCTTTTATTAATTTTTTCAACAATTTATCATCATAAGTACTTTGAGTGAATCTTTCCAATAATGAAAAATCTTCATTTGTAAATTCTTCATCATCATCTAAAGGACCAATTAATCGTCCATTACATACGATCGCTCTAGCTCCTTTTTCTAAATTTAGTACTGTTTTAATATATCGACGATGTATATACAATTCATCTATTTGATTTTTTAATCGTTCCTTTATAATCTCTTCCTAATTTTATAATAAATTGTTAAATTATTATTTTTATAAAATTAAAATTCTAACTGTTTTTTAAAAGAATAATTACCTCTATATCAACTTTTTTTTCATTAAGAATAACAGTAGCCATATCTTCCTTTATTATATTACGAATAAAGCGCATAATTTTTTCTACCGGAAGAGTGTGTAATGCAGCTAATACTATTTGATTGATATCGATTGTATTATTATTCGTATCGGCAAGTGGATTAACAATTATACTAATTCTAACATCTGCATTCGATTCCTAAATTATAATCATGATAATTATACTCAAATATTAATATAAGTCTTATTGTATATCTTATTGTATAATGACATAAATAAATAATATATACAATAAATCACTTACTATGTATTCAAGTGCTTCACGTAATAATTGTCTGCCTTTTAATTCATTTAAATTTGTTACAATCCAAAATGTATATAAATGATGAACAGTTGTACGACGTGGCACATATATATAGCGCATTTTATTTATCAACCAAGTTGATAAATCTTGAGGGCTCCATTTGTTATAATCTTCATCATTAGGTATAGTACCGATTAAGTTTAACCATGTGTGTTTTTCCGGTTTCAATATTCGTTCATTCAAGCTATAACAAAACATATTCATACAAACTTGAAAAAATGTTACGTATTAAAATTTCGTACCAAGGCATAACATTCGGTTGATTCATAATATAATCAACTACATCATCTCCTTCAGTTATTTCTCCTCGATATACAGCTTTCTGTAATGCAGGTGTTTGCGATATAATAGTAGATAAAACAGCTTCTTCAAATGAATTGGCGTTTAATTGATCAGATGATAAAGGTACACCATTAAGTAAAGCTTGTGGAAATTTCCTAAAACCAGATCGCTTTACGAAATCACTAGCTAAATGACGTCCTACGTCATATTCAGATTCTTCGCCAAGGATATAATTTATATTAGCAGATGAATCCTGTATTTTTATTGTTTTCTTTATATCCTCTATATCTACTCCTTCAGGTCCAATATAATTTCCTAACTAAAATCGAATATAATATATTACAAATTTTATTAATTTTATTAATATGTACAGAATAAGAAATAATACTTTTATTTTATGTAAAAGACTATATAATAAATATAATTGATGATTAAATAAAATCTTACGTCTATCAGAAATTGTAAAGCGTGTTCCGATCCTTTGGTTTCCGCAAAGTAATGATATGCATTATTAATTGCAACACTGGCATCAGTTAGTCCAGTTATAGAGGAATCATAATTCGTTACAAAGACAAAACCCACTCTTAATGGTGCGGAATGTAAATATAATGATTGTGCTAATGTTATCAGAGGACTGGATTCTCCACTTAAAGGATCAATAATTAATACCTATTATATAATATATAATTTTTAAATGAATCTATATTTTTGAAATTTTCTAAAATTATATTGTAATTATTTTAGATCAATAGTCTATGTTTATACCAACCAAATTATATAAATTTCTTCTAATATTTCTTAGCATTCCAGGAAAAGTTGGCCTCAATAATTCTGTTAACGATGACGACCATCTCGCATAAGCTGAATCCTGTTCAATATCATTTACCCAAATTATAGCTGAATCTCTTATATCCATTGCAAATTCTTGTTTATCCATATTAGTAGATAAATCCAAAGCTAACAATGTGCTTATCTCTTTATTACTAAATCCTACAAATGAAATATTCAATAATATAATAAATATATAATAAATATATAATAAATATATAATAAATTTAAATATAACGTGCAACATACCGATTTTACGAAGAGATTCCATTATTCTTAATTCGCTTCTCAATGATTCTAAAAGACTGAGGACATCTACTGCTTCCAAATCAAAAAATAATCCATTAATGAAAAGTGCAGTATCTGTAGGTTGTATATTTAAACTTGTAGAAAATATTGCTTGATTTAGTTTCATTTCTTTTTTCATTTCATTATTTACTTTTGTTCTAATTAGAGATTTTGCCTTCAAATAAATTAAGTATTATATAAATATTACATATACTATTATAAAAATGAAATAAAAATATAATTTCCAGCAAAAGAATAATTTTAATACTATAAAGAAAATACCTGAATTGGAAAATTTTGTGAAATATCTGTTAAAACATTAATAGCCTCATTTGTAGGAGAATTCATTATTCTTTCAGCTGCTTGATAACTTAATTCTTGAAATTGCCATACTTTCAAAGCACCAATTTCATGACTAGTTTCAAGTAAATGAGTTTGTAATTTATCTAACTCTAATTGTTTATTAGGATATAAATTTCTAAAAAAAAAAATTTTTAAAAAGTTAGATTGTGATAATAGAAAATAAAAAAAATAATAAATTAAAAATATTTAATTTAAAATTAATATTAACATGAAAATATATAAAATCTAAATGTCAAGAATATAACCACCTTACTTTAAAGTTACAAAATTAATTCCATCTATTTCTTCCATATTATCAGTTGTAGTCTCTGAATCTTTTCCTGTATTATCTTTAATATCTGAATCATCTGTTGCTTTATATTCTGTAGATTTCATTTGCAATTCTACGCCATATCCTGATAAACGTACATTTTTGTCTGTTCTATCCTATAGATATCACAAATTAATTACATGCATACATATATATATATATATATATATTAAATATATTTATGATACCTTTAAATAATGTCGTAAAATATAATTAATTCCATTGGTTTCTGCAAGATCTTTTAATTTATTATGGAAATCCAAAAATTTTGGTGTTCCAATTTGTCCATATAATATAATAATTTTATCTGATTGTTGAGATGTATGATAACGATGATCTACACTGTAGATATCTGGACGCATCCAAGTATCCTAAGAAAATAATCATAGAATATATAATTGAAATTAATTAATATATGTATATATATGTTTTAAAATGTTTACGTGTCATTTACTTGAATAGCCAACTTTTCTAATTCTTCTAAAGAACATGTAAACACTCCACCAATATCCACTATATTATAACAATCAAGGAAGGACAAGTTTTTATTTTCTACCATTTGTGTAAACATTTCAATACGTGCTGAATAAATTCTTAATGATAATCCTAATTTCATTAATGCTAACTCAGAATGAGATAAATATTTTTCAGCAAATGCAATAACAGCATCATAATTATCTTTCTCTGTAACTAAGAAAACAAAACTAATATAAAATTACATTATTTATAAAAATATTAAAAATGATATAATAAAATATATATACATAATATGATATAATAAAAGTAAAATTACCATTTCTTAAATCATAATTAGCAAAATTATCTATAAATTTCCAAAAATAACTTGGATTTTCATCATTTAAATATTCAGCAGCTTCAAGAGCTAAAGGTGTTTCTTTCCATTTTGCATCTATTAGAGTAGTTACATATTTGTTTACTCTTTTTTCTGCTTCAATGTATATTGTACACAGTATTAAAAAATAAAGACATATAATTAACCGCATCTGTAAACAATACAAATATTGTTGATAACAAGGAAAATAAAGAAAATAAAAATGTAAGAAATTTAATAAAATTGAAAAATATGTTTCTACGATATTATTATACGATAGTCTCGATGGTTTAAATTAAAAGATTTTATATTTTTAATTTGTTAAACAATAAAATAATTGAACTTCTTAATATATCTATTATACAATAATAAAAATTGATTACCACAATAATATAAGCACTTCTATTTTTTTATAATTTATATGAATTCTTATATTTATAATAGTGTTAAATTATCGATGTAGTTAACGAAAATGATTAGAAATAAAAATAATAACATAATATTATAGAATTCATAATAATATATGTAAGAGAAAGAAAAGAATTTTATATTTTTAATTAAATTGCATACCTTTAAATTTTCCATGAAACTCATATTGTAAAAAAATTGGACAAGGATAATAACCAATCCATGCAAAACACGTGCCGGTAACTGGTGAAAGATACTGATATATATCTATACTTAATATAATTATTTACTATATGCACAGGCATACATTTTATAAATTTTCAAATTATTTTGCTTATTAAAAATACTATTAAATATTATGGTCATATTTTTTTTATGTATTATTCTTAATAATATATTATTTGCATATTTTAATCTAGAATTATTAGTGCACTTTTAAGAGAAATATAAAATTTCCTAGGTTTTTTGTGCAACCTAAATACTTTTTTTTATTCTAAGAATCTTAAAATAAGTATGCTTTTGTACTTATACCAGACATAATACAAGACGTAATACAAAGGAAAGGTATAATGTTATACAAAATAGTTAAAACAAGTTAGTACAAATACATATGAAATAGTATATTAAGAATATTTTTAATGCAATTAGAAAGTAAATAAATAATTGCATTATGACTATAATAGATTATGTTCAAACTTTATCTGATAATCCGTATTTTGGAGCTGGTTTTGGACTTTTTGGGTTAGGTGCTGGTGCAGCTTTATTACGAAAAGGAATGCAAGTAGGAATGATAATGTTCAGGTATTATTCACAAAATTACAATTTTATATTATATTATGTACGATTTTATATTATTCAATATATGATATTTAATTTTTTTATAAGGCGACATTATATGATCACTTTAGAAGTTCCATGCCGTGATAAAAGCTACCAATGGCTTTTGCAATGGATTACACATAAAGGTGCAAAGGAAACGCAACATCTTTCAGTTGAAACAAGTTTTGAACAAAAAGAAACAGGTCACATAAAAACTAGATATGATTTCGTACCAAGTATTGGAACACATTTTATTAGGTTAGAAATAACTGTACTTATCACTGCAATATTTCATCTGACAATGACAAGTATGATACGTTTATGTAACAATTTAAAATTTATAATAATAGTAGAATCATTAAATCATAAAAATTATATAATAGTTAAATCAATGATATATTTATTCAATTAATAGGTATAAAGGGAATTGGATAAGAGTAGAACGAACTAGGGAACAACAAACATTGGATATACAAATGGGTATACCATGGGAAACAGTACAACTTACAGCATTAGGAAGAAATAAAAATATTTATTTTAATATTTTAGAAGAAGGTAAGATAATTATATTAGAATTAAAAAATAAGCAAAATTAATATAAAGAAAAGTAAAAAATTAATTTTTATTTTCAGCAAGACAAATGGCATTAAAAGAATATGAAGGCAAAACAATAATGTATACTGCAATGGGAAGTGAATGGAGACAATTTGGGCATCCTAGAAGACGAAGACCGCTAAATTCAGTTGTTTTAGATACTGGTATTGCAGAAAGAATAATAAATGATTGTCGTGAATTTATACAAAATCCTTCATGGTATAGCGATCGTGGTATGTAAATGATACATATATATACATTAAGAATATGTAACATTTGCACTAAATATTTATTAATTAATTAGGAATTCCGTATCGACGTGGATATTTATTATATGGTCCTCCGGGTTGTGGTAAATCATCATTCATTACTGCTTTAGCTGGTGAATTAGAAATGGGTATTTGCGTTTTAAACCTATCAGAACGAGGTTTAACAGATGATAGATTAAATCATCTACTAGCAGTAGCTCCACAACAAACTATTATTCTTTTAGAAGATATTGATGCCGCGTTTACTAGTCGTGAAGAAAATAAAGAAAGTAAGTGAGAGAATAATATTGTGTAATTATTTATACAAAAACATTAATTCTTTATTTTTATTACAGTTAAAGCTGCATATGATGGTTTAAATAGAGTAACATTCAGTGGTTTATTAAATTGTTTAGATGGTGTTGCTTCTACAGAAGCAAGAATTCTCTTCATGACAACCAATTACTTAGAAAGATTAGATCCTGCCTTAGTTAGACCTGGTAGAATAGATGTAAAAGAATATATAGGTATATATATATAACATTTTGCAAATTATTATGTTTTAAATAATAAAATATTCATTAATTTAATATCAATGATGGATACTATTCCGTGTTCCAGGTTGGTGTAGTGCAAATCAAGTGGAACAAATGTTTTTGAGATTTTATCGTAACATTGACGATAGAGCAAATGTGCTTGCTAAAGAGTTTACAGAAAATGTATTATCGCAGAAAAAATATGTTAGTCCAGCGCAAATTCAAGGATATTTCATGTTTTATAAAAATAATCCTGATGATGTATTAAAAAATGTTTCAAATATATGGGAACTTACATAATAAATTATATTTAATAATGAAACAATTATACTTGAAGAATTTACATTGAATCATAAAAAATCTATAAGAATAAAAAATACATATGTAGATTAAATATTGTAAATTTTTACATGTATAAAAATAATGCAATCTATGCAGTTTACAATTTTTTTAACAAGATTTGCTTATTCATTCCTAAAAATTTCATAAATATAAATTTAATGTAACACATATTTTTTATTTTCACAATATTTTATTTTGCACATTTTGAATGACTATTTAAAGATAAAATACATTGTATAGCAAAATAACATTGTATAATTTTTCTTTTATTTTTATCAATATATCTGTTCAATTATTTAAATTCATATTATATATATCGCTATATTTACACATTATTGGCGTTTTTTCATGTTGATTTAAATTGATTCAATTAATTTCATTTAACACAAACATTTTTTAAATAAATTTAATTTAAAAAAAATATATCTTATTTAAATCTTAAAAATCTTAAAAATTTATGTATTTTGGATGAAATATTTTTTTACATATGCGATGTTTTTTTTAATATTAAAAGATAAATAAAATTTCTTCTCTACTCGTTAATGATCACTTTATCGTGATATTGATTTAGTTTAAAAAATTTTTATTATTCTGTAATATTATATTCATGATTTCATAAATTAATATATTCAAAATAAGAGATAATAAGGAGAATAATTATTATTTTATATGTTTCATCAATATCAAATACTAATTATATTAATGATGATTTAAAAAATTAATGCATGCAATTATGAGGATATATTAAAGTTCAATTATAATTAGTTAAAATTGAATCTATTTTTTCAATTATCTCAAACTAATACTCACCCAATATTTATTTGAGGTTTTTTGATTTTACAATCAAAAATAAATATTGAATATTTTCACGAAAACCAACTTATGATTCATTCATATTATTATTATAAACAGTATAATGTAAAATCAATACATAAAATAAATTTGATCAATGAATTGAATTTCAAATGTGATAGAAAAAATTTTTAAAATTGGAATGATATAATATATTTAAGAATATCTCTAAATTTATGATTTAATGTTTTAATGTTTTTTTATAGTTAATGATTAGAAACTCCAAATGTATGGTTCATAATTTAAAGGATCTGGTTGTTCCATATGTCCTGTATGAGTATTACTTCCAACCATACATGATGGATAGGTAACTCCAGTACTTCCTTGTCCTGATACAGGTGCTACAATTGATGCTAATCGACAATCAGATCTTTGTGGTATCATAGAATTCATTGGTTGTATAGATTGAGCTGGTGGAGGACCTGCTGGAGGATGTGATTGAGATTGAACAATTGTAGGAGGAGGTGGAGGAATATTATGAATAGGTTGTATTATATTAGAACCTGAAACATAATTTGCCACTAAAATGTGGTTTTAAAAATTATCAATTAGTTTTTATCACAAGAAAAACATAGTAAATATTCAGTCATTAATCTTACTTGTTCCATTATGATATGATAAAGCAGTAGTTTGTTCTGATATCATGTTTGTAGAGGGTGAAACCATTTTCATCGCAATGGACTCGGTTTTTCTTTTTCTAGTGGGTCGTTTTTGCATACTGTTTGATACTTGATCACGTTTTTTATTATTATTCATTTTTTTCTTCTTTTCACCCGGTAATTTAGGTTTATTTGGTCGATTTCCACTAGGCTGCCAAAGATGTACAGTATGTACAGCATTTCCTTCTCTAAAATAATTGAATATTGCTTGATAATGAATAAATATGAATAGTAATTATCAAAGGATTTTTTTTTTCGTTTTTTTTTTGTTTTATTTTATTTTATTTTTTTTAACATACTAACCCTTGTTTTTTTCCAAGCTTCCAACTATGTATACCAGCTTTATGAAGCCTCTCTCTAATAGTGTCTACGCTACATTTTAAACCCAGTGCAGGCGCGACATGTTTAGCTGCAGTTAATGGTTGCTGAGTAGCCATAGCAACAATAGCTTCATCTTGTTCTTTAGTAGTAATTCGTCGACGACCCTTTCTTTCCTTAGTTTGTACGTTCCCTTCCTTATGCCAACGTTCTAACCATCTTTTTACGGTACGTTCCTATTTAATAATGAGTATTGCGTATACGGCCTCTCTTGAGATGGTTTTAATTATGTGAATCCATCAAGACGAACATGTTTCTTCTTACCGATCTGTCGATTGCAAGCGCGATAGATAATGTGGATAAACCGGCTTCAGACATGCCAATCATACGATTTCGAATTTCAACACTGGTTTCCAATGTCCCCTTAGCTTTTCCACCCTTTTTTTCTTTTTCTGTGGTTCACTTTTCGCGTTGTCTTCTTTCGATGAATCTTTATTATTAGATTCTATACTAGAAGATTGATTATCTTGATGACCACAAGTATTAGAATTATCAGAAGTTAAATTCGTACTATTTTGTGGACTAGCTAATTGAGAATGTAATTGATCACGATGATGCTGAACTTCTGCCTGAAGTTGCCTTTGTTGTTCATCAAGATTATGAGTTTGTTGTATTTGTTGTACATGGTTTTGTTCTTGTTGTACATGTAATTCTTGAAGTTGTTGTGAGGAAGCTACTTGTTCATGAGATATTGAATTTGATTGATCCTAGAAATTTGAGAAAATATAAGTTATGTATAATAATATAAATATTTATATAATATTAAACAAATTATACAAACTTGAGGATAATGATGATTTCCTTGCACTAAATCTAAAGGCCAATTCTGAGATATATTTAAATTAGGATGTTGATAAATAGATTGTGTTTGTTGAGATAAACCTAAAGTACTACCAAATTCTGTCTGAGATTGCAAAGGTTGAGATGGTGATTGCATTTCATTAACTTGAGATTCTGAAGCATTTTGTTGATGATATATAAATTCTCGTTGTTCATCAGATTTTTCACTTTCTATTGGTGCACCATCCCCTACATATACATCTTTGGCTCTAATTTTCTTGATGGATTTCTTTTTTTAGTTGTACTATTATTCTTTTCATTTTTATTAGAATCTTTGGAAGACTTTTTTTTCCCCAATTGTGTTCCAGTAGGTCTCCATACAGATTGTTGAATAGTAACACCATCTGTATCACTATAAATAAGAGCAAAATCAAATGGCATAAAAAATAAATAGTTTTATCTTAAAAAATATTTATAATATTGAAGAACAAACCCAAGTGGAATTCTTTGCATATATTTTCTCGAAGGACTCCAATTGTGAATTCCAGCTTTATGCAGCCTTTCACGTATAGTATCAACAGAACAAGTAAGTCCTAAAGCAGGAAGTACAGCTTTTGCTGCCGTTATCGGCGTTTGCGTAGCTAAACGTACAATAGCTTCATCTTGTTCCGCTGTTGTAGCCCTTTTACGTCCGCATCGTTCTCGAGTTTCCACTGTACCTTCTTTGTCAAACCTGTTTAACCATCTTTTCACTGTCCGTTGCTAAAAAACAATAAAATGCGATAAATAATACGATACGATCCAATATATAATTTTGTGAAATACTCACCGAGCAATTTACAGCGGCTGCAATTTCTCGCAGACCTAAACCAGCTTCATACATTCCTACCATTCGATTTCTTAATTCTGGTGTTGTTTCGTGCACTCCTCTTGTTTTTCCCATTTTGTTCAAAATTTTTAAAGACGATGATACGAATGTTGAAAAAAATTTTAAATTTTACGCGAAATGTGACGTAAGAATAACAGGGATCACGTGACAATGGCAGTGCTCGATCATAAAGTTTTTCGAAATTTTAATTAAGTTTCTACAATCTTTTTCCTTTGTCGCGCGACCTTTAAATTTCAAAAACTTCCACCGTATCATTCTATTTTGTGATTGAAGTTCTGCTACGAACGCGTTTCAAAAAGTATTGTTTCTTTCTCGTTTTCGACATCGTATTGTGCTAGAAACGAATCGAAATCTTGGCGTCGATGGAATGCAATTGGAACATTCAATGAACTCTATTCATTCAATAAATTTACCTTGATTATCTTCTTCCAGTTGAGATCATATGTTCAACATTACAAAACATCGAGCACACTTTATATTTTCACTTTTAATATCTGTTGTATACCTTGTTTTGGGCGAAATGCAATCGCTCGAAGAAAACGCTGCGGTCAATACAAGTTCAGCTGTACAGTCTGTCGAGATTCATTTGTCCTTGTTTTGTCTTTCGTGATTCCAAATTTATCAAAGCATTGCTATATAAGAATTTCTCTTTCTTGTAAAAATATTGGAAATATAGCATAGAAAAATTGTAATGATCCATATTTAAATTTTGAAGTACTTTCAATTTAAAAACTGCTATGACACACATGTGACAAAATCGTCAATATTAATTCGGTCAGACTGTACTATGTCATCAATTGTACAGTCCGTCAAAAATTTCAAATCATTTTAAGTAAAGAAAATTAAAAATTTCATTTGATTTAAAAATTTCAAAGCAGTATTTATTATAATATTTTTTTTCAAATTTAATCAAATTTATGTTTTATTTCAAAAAAAGAATATATATATTGTTTTATATTCAACCATAAATCATGATGACTATATATATGACAGGGAAAATATAACGTTAAAAAGGTTATGTCAAATGAGAAAGCACGTAATAAATATAATATTTGATCGAATAAATAATTATATCGTTTTGTCAAATTTTGTTAAATACTATTGTTGTCACAGTACTTGGAAAATATATCAGTTGTGATATAATGTGAATAATGGTCAATAATTTTAAAAGATGACTGTACTTTGAGACGAAGTTATTCAGGATTCGTTCGGGTATATTCGTCTATCTTCGCTGAAATTGTATTGACCCACAAATTACCTCCCTTGCTTGTCGACACGCGGTTAGATGGACATGCTGATTTGTATTTCGGCGCGAATTTCTTATAAAATCTTTTTTTTTCGTGATGAATGAATGGAAAAAAATGATAATTTCAAATAAATAATATATAATTTTTTAATTATTAATGACAATTTAGTTCCTTTTACTTCTTATTTATTTCTTATAAATAAACTTAAAAATAAAATTTCAAAATTTTAATAACAATTAAAGAGGACAATTTTATAAACAACAATGAATATTTTTTCATTTTTCATAAATAATGTTTGACAAAGTTGATTCGACAAGCAACGTGAACAAGATACGATTCTTTTACAATTTGTAAACAACGAATGAATAGGAATGAAACGAGGCATTTGAATCGGTTGAATGTATAGAAGGTAAGATATACATAGATAATAATATACATAGGGTCAGATCGCAAAATGGTAATATCCGCCAATCAAATCTGCATTTATGTGTACACCCTGTCCTATATATGTAGAATCAAAAGGTTCGTTCACCCGTTCCTTTTAACTTAAGAGACATTTTAATTACTGGATCAAAATGGATAGTTGCAATCAATTAACACAAATTAACTGAAAATACGATCTATCGACAAAATAAATGATTGATGAACCAAATAACATATCAAAGGTGGGAAATTTTATTCGGTCAGAAGCGGGTGCGGTGCGTGAGGTCAGCAGTTAAGAGATCTCTTTTGTCAGAGAAGAGTCGTCGAGCGGATTACATGTTTAGTCGCGCCCTCGAGCTTGCTCACACCATCGTGACGATTATACGTTCTACTGAACGTTCCTCGTTCTCCGGACCTCGGCCGGACCACATTATCTAACTCAACTTCGATTGGAGATCATTAACTCGTTCTTTCCAATTTGTGTCATTTCAATATTAAATAGAAATCATGAAATACTCGATACTGTTGAGCTTGTTAATCACTTGCTTGATTCGGTCACCAATTGTTCATTGTGGGGTTCGTATCATAGTGTTTAAAAGTATACATAACTTCGTTTCATATTTTATTATTTTCTTTTTCTTTTCCTAAACAATTTATTGTTATTTGTTTAAAAATTCGATTTTTCCCTCTGGAAATTCGAAAGAAAAAAGAAAAGTGATGGTCGCGCGATTGTAATTGTGCGCGCATCGCGCTTTGACTAAAAATAAACATTTATGCGAGTATTTATGAAAGAGGGAAAAAAAAACACAATGATAAGTTAATATAAGAGAGAAAGAAAAAGAGAAACATATTTTGCATTATTATATTATTGATATTATATTATTTCATCTAAAAAAAAAAATATTTCATAGACACGACCGAGTTTTGTCTCTGACGAGATGATCGCAACAGCAGCCAGCGTGGTGAATGCTTGCCAGACACAGACAGGAGTGGCAACAGGTAAGATTTTTGATTCGTGACAAATTCTACTAGATCGATTCATTTTCATTTTTTTTTATTCGTATTTTTTTTTTTTTTTAGTGGACATAGAGGCAGTAAGAAATGGTCAATGGCCTGAAACACGTCAATTGAAGGTAATAATGCATAATAAATCTCACAAGTCAATCTATAGCTATAATCTCACGACTTATTAAACAAGGGAAAAAAGCATTCTTTTTGCTTTGCAGTGTTACATGTACTGTTTATGGGAACAATTCGGATTGGTGGATGACAAGAGAGAACTTAGTTTGAACGGCATGCTCACATTTTTCCAAAGAATACCAGCATACAGAGCTGAAGTTCAGAAAGCGATCAGCGAATGCAAGGGGATCGGTAAATATTTGGGTATCTATATATTTTGTATATTCTTGGTTTTAACGATAATCGAGCGTTTTCGAAATTTGTCTTTCGTTTTTCTTCTTCTTCCGTAAACCCTTCGTCTCCCTTCTCCCGTAAAATTTTTATTCTTTTTCGTGAAGTTTGTTGTTTATTTCCTATTCGATTTTATTTCGATAGCACACGATTAATCGAATCGGGCAAAATTATTTTGATCATTAATCAATTGTTCTTTTAGCTAAGGGCGACAATTGCGAATACGCGTATAGATTTAACAAATGTTACGCGGAATTGTCTCCACGGGTGAGTATCTAATAATTTTTATTCAACGAAGATATTCTTTCTTTTTTATCTTTTCGATTATTTCAAATGACGATCTCTTTTTCTAAATTCCAGACGTATTATCTCTTTTAACCGAGTTTTTATCTGAGCCAAAGAAGAAACAAGATCAAAGGGAAATGATGCTTATGATGACTGTAGGACGAATCGAAACTCGGATAGAATCTTGATTCGTTTTATCATAAAACGGAATCATACATCGTTTGAATGTAGACGACGACTCTCTGTATGGGAAAGAAGTTAATAAAAAAAAGAAAAAAAAGAAAAAAAAAGGAAAAAAAAATTCGAGACATGTATATTATTTGTCTTACTGTTTCCTACATCGATATTGAGATATGTATCCTTTATGTTTTATTCGTTTTAAAGATATTTCAAAAATGTTGATACTACAAAACTGGAGTAACCGTTTAAACTATCCAGTTGATCGCAATTTCCGATGCTTGGTCGGTCCAATTGTCAATTGAGGTCATGATTAAGCGTGATAGAAAGGAATGATTTGAGAACGAGATAAATTTCGTTTGAATAATATACATTGTAGTAATACAACATAACAATAATAATTTTTTTAAATCAAAAACCAACAAATTTTTACAATATCCATGTAACAACGTGATTGATTAAACAACGCGCGCTCTCTCTTTTATATATAAAAAATGGACAGTTCGATCATCCGTTTAATTGTTATGTATTCTCATCGCATAGAAGGAAACACGTTTTAATTAACGTCGTTTCCAAGATGTTCAAATACACGAGCTCTGCATATTAATTAAACGTTTTGCATTACATTGTATTCCATTCTCAGGCTTTGTGTTCGATAATAACCCTTTGTTATAAATTAATTATCTTGTATTAACGCTAAATTTTGTACTTTTGTCAGAGTTTAAGTTCTTCTTTGGCTGTTATACCGTATTATTAGATAAATGTTCTTGATCAAGAAGAAACGTTTGCATATTCATTAGACGAGCAAGATTTGATTCGTGTTTTCTGAATTGATACGTACAATTTGAAAATTATGGCGACCAATTATCACTTCCCGTTTGGGTAAAAAGTGAACATCTATAAATGCTACGAATTCGTACCAGGAAAACATAGTCCACTAGTGTTGTTTTGTACATAAAGAATCAATTTTTTTATTTTTCTATCAATCGCAACGAATCGTCGAGAAAATGAGAACAGCGAAAATTTGGTTGATATCATTATTGTATTATTTGGTATTGCAAATCGTTCTCGTTTACGGAGTCGTAAGTATTAATTAAACATATATTTCATCATCTTTTCTTCAAAATAACCGAAATTTTTTAACAATTAAGAGCGATATCGACGAATTTAGAGAATTGACGTCTAAATACAGGAAAAAGTGTATTAGCGAGACTAAAACGACAGCTGGTAAGATATAATCGGTGAAATTTTTTAATTTGATTGGTAAAAATCTAACAATGATATACTTTTCTAGAGGTTGTCGAAGCTACGGAATATGGAGAATTTCCTGATGATGAGAAATTGAAATGTTACTTCAATTGCGTACTTGAAAAGTATAATGTGGTAAGATTCGCTGCTTATATTATTATATTACACACATATATATATATATATATATATATGTATTATAAAAGAATATTGTTGTTTTGTATAGTACAGATGGATAAGAAAAATGGAAAGATAAAATATAATTTACTGAAAACAGTAATTCCAGAAGCATTTAAAGAAATAGGTCACGAGATGATTGATACTTGCAGCAGTATCGGTAAGTATTCCAAAGAATCGTGAATTTTTAATGCCCTTCCAAACGTATAAATTTATTATTTTGATAATTTATTTGAATTTTTCTTTTTTTTATTATTATTTTTAGATTCAAATGACAAATGCGAAAAATCTTTTATGTTTATGAAGTGTATGTTCGAAGTCAATCCCATAGTAAGTCAAATAGAATACATTATTATTATTTACGAATATAATATCAAAATTGCGAGAATTGTTTTCACAAAAAGAATATTTTTCATTTTCTGTTTTCTAGGCATTTATTGCTCCGTGATCACCAGAAATACAGACTGTGGATCATTACTGTATCGTTATTATAAGATAAATTTGTTGGATCCGTATTTCATAAAAATATAATTATTTATGAAAATGTGAAATATACGTTAGAAACATATCGACCAACGTTTTGTCTTGAAAATCGTTCACACACGGCAGAAAATATTCGGATAAAATGGTATTCGCTAAATTTCTTCGTTCATATATAGTATACACAGTATACAGTGAAACGTAACGAGATCAATTAAGTTTCTAATCACTGTGACTATATCGCTAACAATTCTTAATGTTACGTTTTACGCGGTTTCGTTTTCCTTTTATTGATGTTCATTATTTGTTCGACTATAATATCGTCTGCTCGTGGATCGATAGGAACAGCTTGCGCCGGTGTTCTCGAGATCGGCACCGGTTTCGACCATCTTTCAATCAGTGTGTTCAACCATAACCAAAGTTTTTCACGATTGAAGAATGCAAACGTGATAAACATGATAAAAGGTAGCGCAACTATTGACGTCTGATTCATATCGCTTTGGTCGACTTTTCGTTCTGCGTTAAACGTCAATTTCACGTATTTAAACGACGAGTTTGCCTCGAAATAGAATGGTATAGTTCTGTACTTATGTAACGTATGAGACAGAGACGATTCTAATTGTACGAAGTACTTTTTACCATCCGCCTGTAGGGGAGGCATATGCACGAGAAAACCGGCATTATAAGCACTGCCAACTTTATTGACTTGTTGAGATTCTAATTTTGATGTGTATATTGGAGAGTCGGGTGCATCTTCTCTGCATAATTTTACCTTCAATGTACGGTAATGTTCCGGTTGTGCGGACATAATATGTACTGAGACATCGGTACGCGATATTGGATGAAACGCAACCAATCGAAGATTTCGAATGTCGGATGATGTTTGCACTAATGTCGAGTTAGGACTGGTTCGTTGAATATGCGCATTAACTTCAGCGTTCGGTTTCAGACGAAACACATAGGTACACTATATGGAAGAAAAAACAATTGCTTTTTAAATTTTTTAAATAATTTTAAATGAATAAGCTTAGGTAAAATATGAAAAAAAAAAAAAGAAAGGGAAAAGTTATAAGAAGAAATCTTGCTCACTGTTGGTTGAAGCCCGCGGATTCGGAAGCTACCGTTTTCTTCCGTGGTCGCTTCTTCTTGAAGATGCTCGCAATTTTCTTGCCCCTGAACTTCAACCAGTAAGCCGGTTTCAGGTTCACCGTTTAGAGATGTCACAGAACCATACGCACTAAACGCGACTCTTTTTCCGAATAGATTCACTTTTACCGTAGCGCCTTCAACAACTTTGATCATTTTCGACGGAGGATCGAAACGATATTCCTTCATCATTGGTCTTAAATAATATTCGCCAGGGGATAAAGAATTGAAGATTAATTTTCCATCCTCGCCAGTAATGCTGTTCTTTCGATAATTTTGTCCACCAGATAATGATAATAGTACACCCTAGTGACCGCGATAATTCAGTTTCATTTACTTTTATAATTATAATCTTCGACTTTTATTTATTCATACGCACCTGGAGGGAAATATTGTCAGCTTGGTCTGAGACCTGTACAATAATTTCAGCCAACTTGTGAGCTGTGAATACACCGTTGGAATCGGGCCCCGTGATTACAAATCCCTCTTTTTGTGCAGTAACGCTAATGAGAAAAAAAATGATAATTTAAAAAAGTATATATTTTTCGAAAAAAAAAAAAGAATAAATATTTTTTGAAAAAAAAAAAGAAAAGAAAAAAAGCATATGTATATACTTGTATTCTCTTTTCCCGTCTAAAGGACCAATATTGTATGTTCCATCTTTTTGAGTGATAAGCGTATGTATTGGTATAGTTTTATCGCTATCAAATATTTGCACGGTAACTCCTTCCAAAGGTGGATTGATTTTACCAGCAATTATCTATACAATATACAAAAAATTTTAATATGTTAATATATCAAATGACAATTTTTTCAATTTGACATATATTTAAATAATTTTTATGACACGTGCTTTTCCTAAATCACCAACAAAAATTGCAACATCATCTTGACAATCGTTTACACCCAATACTTTCAATGATGCCGGACTAAATAGAAGAATATTTGATAATGGTGTTATAGTATAAATGTTATCTGTCTTTGCTTTAAATTCGAATTTATATTTGTACAGATTTTCATGGCGCGTCCAATTCAATGGGCCAAGTCTAAATTAATAAAAACGATGAAAACGTTAACATTAATTTATATTTCTAAAGATATATTAAACTATAATGTGCGTTACTTACATTATAACATCATCTGCTCCATTCTCAATTTTTACTTTAATTTCATTTAACGCAGAATGACTCATAATGCTTCCTATGTGACTGTGTTCTGTTGAATGTAACAAAATAGGAGAAATAGTATTGGTATCCCATGTATAGGACAATTTTTCATAAACATGACAACTTTTTGGTATAAACGTATACATTCCAGGTTCAGACACACAATGCTTTGTACTTCCTTTATTCAATACTAACGTTAATTTTTTCAATTCGTTTGATTTCGAATATTCAACCATAGTATCGTGAGAAGAAATGAAAGTAACAGAAAATCCAGTTTGTTCAAATGGCGGCAATTCGGATCGTTCTGAAGTCACAGAAATTCTGTAACTAGGATTCGTCCAACAAAAAACATCGTTGTCTATTAGTACTTCGTAATGACCGGGTAACACATCCGTAAATTGATATTGGCCAGCTGCATGATTAAAGAAAACTTTACACAAAAAACGGTAGTATCAAACGAATTAACTATACAATATGCCTGTAATAATAAGAATGTGTTCTGTAATTGAATATTTATATTATATTTTTTATAATATTCCAATGTACAAAAATATTCTGCTTTTTTAACACATGCTCATTATCGCAGGACTTTTAAATAAAAGAAAATAATATACACCAAAAGATCAAAGTGAAATCTTACCCTTTGTTTGAATCGTTTTTATTGTAATACCATCAAGTACCTTTAGCGTCACAGAAGCTTGACTGCAATCGGTTTCCGGTAAACATTTTACTGTTCCTGTTAATGTAGCTTTTAATTGTAAGAAGTTAATATTATGCACCGGTCGAGATGATACTTCGATTGTTTGTTGTAATGGAAAAAATCTTAAAAAAAAAAAAAATATCAAATGTTATTATATACGATATTCGCAATTATTAAATATTAGAATCCATTACTTCAAAAGAATTAAACTTCAAAATATATTAGTTACATGCATTAAAAAATGTACAAAATGATGACAAACTTACTGTAAACCTTTTGCTCTTTCATCTTCGCTTACAATAACGCTTAATTGATATGTATCAGGACTAAGATATACACAAAATTCACCTGTTTTCGGATCTATTTCAATTTCTTTTGTAAATGTGGTGGCTGTATTATGTATAGATATTTTTCGATAGTTTAAATCTCCTTTTGTTGATAAAGTAACTTTGCCGCAAATTTTATACGCTGTTGGTATTAAAACTGGAAGTTCCGGGGAACTGGGAGAAATCTTAACTGATTTATCATTGAATAATAAATCTTCTATATATTAAAAAATAATAAAATCAATAATTTGAATTCGAATTTAATCTGAAAATATAATAATAAGCAAATAAGACATACCGCTTTCAGCTTTAAGAATATATTGACCAGCTTTCATATTATCCAATACATATTTTCCATGTTTATCCGTTATGGCGACTTGTTTTTGAGAAAGTAAAATTTTTGCTCCTGGTAAAGGATCGCCATTGTTGGCAGTACGGACAATACCGTTTACCGTAAAACCGGTTACTTTAAATCCTTGGCGTAATACGACGCTGCCATGACTTACTTTAAATGATAATTCAGGTGGCTGAACATCAAATTTAGTTTGAGCACCGGTATAATATGGAACAAGATTATATTCGCCAGGTGACAAACTAGGAAATATAAATTTACCGCTTTTGTCAGATATAACATGACAAAGAGGTTTTCTAGATTCAAGATCTTTGCTTATAGGTGTCGTTGCGCAATTTTTAGCTATACCATTCTACGAAATAAATATAATTTATTAATTGAAAAACATTATTAAAAAGATAAAGAAAAAGAAAAAGAAAACTTACTCCAAATAATACAAATGTTACACCACTAACTGCTTCTTCTTCACTGGTAACTCGACCACTCACGTCATAACCGAAAATTACTAAACTATCGTCCGAAAGTTCTGTGTTGCCTTCACGTACTGTTACTCTAACTGTATTTGTTTTGAACATCCATCTATAACAAAGACATAACATAATACCAATGTGTTAATAAACAAAACGAATATAATAAATCACACTCACGTGGTATGAGATGCAATAAGTACATATTGTCCAGGTTGAATTGGAGTAAAATAAAATATACCACCTTCCATAGTAATTGTTGTATCAACAGGAATTTGCTCATTATTTTCTTATACAATGAAACTGTAACATTTTTAGGACCAGAATCTGATCCGAAACTAATGACCTATAATATAGAAATATATTTTTATAATAATATTACAAATGATGAAATCAATTCCATGTATTTTTACAATAAATATATTTTAATAAATTAAATAATTAAATAAATTACCCTGCCTGTGATACCAAAACCTTTGAAGGTAAAATTAATATCTATACCCTGACTACAGGCATCTGTTGTTCCATCTACATTCAATAAGACTTCCGTAGGTTCAAAACTCCATCCTCTGGGTGGATCTACCTAAATATTTTAAAAAAAAATATTCAAAAATGAATATAAATTTGTTTTTATCTTTAATTTCTAAATTCGCTAAAATCTATTATTCAAATAAAATGATAAACATGAAATTTTGCTATAATATATATATATTCTACATTACCTTTAGAATATATTCTCCTTTATCATACAAAGGAAGAAAATAATATCCACTATTAGGGGCACATTCTGTAAAATCCTTAAGACTACCAGCTTTCGTATATCTAAATAAATCAAAAATATTAATATACGTTTTTTATTTTATGAATTTATTTTATAATTCATTGATGAATTACTTACAACTTTATTTGTACTTTGGAAAAATCTATATCGGCATGACTTTTCAAAAATCCACCACAACCTAAAATATCTT